CGGTGCCCTTTAGGTACCTCATGATCCGTTTTACAGCAGTCCAATGGCATTGTCCAGGATTACTGGAAAATTAACTGACCTGATTGACAGCATAACTTATATCAGGCCTCGTCGCTTGCGCCAAGTACTTGAACGGTACATTTTTCATCGCCTGAATTTCGTCTGGTGTGCTTGGAGACATCTTACTGTGGAGCTTCAAGCTAGATTCAGCTGGAGTCGAAACTGGACAACAGTTCGCCATGCTAAACCGTTGGAGAATGCTCTCCACATAATGCTGCTGGTCAAGCCAAAGCTTACCATTTCGCCTATCCCTGGATATTCTCAGTCCCAAGCAGAATTTCGCTTGACCAATGTCCTTCATGTTAACACGGGTATTCAAAAATTTCTTCAGCTTGATTTTCATCTGAGGGTCGTTGCTAAAGATGAGGAAGTCATCAACATAGATGGTTTTAAAAAGCATCTTTCCTCCTTCTAACTTGAAATACAAGCAAGTATCGACATCCGAGCGTTTAAGTCCGAAATCTTTTAACGCCTCGTCGAGCTGGCTGTTCCAGACCCTGCTGGATTGCTTCAAGCCGTAGAGTGCTTTCCGCAACAGACACACCTTGCCGCTTTTGTTCACGAAGCCTTCAGGTTGATCCATATATATAATTTCGTCCTTGAGCTTCCCCTGCAGGAATGCAGTAACTGCGTCCATTTGTTCCACATCCAGGTCGTGTTTGACAGATAATGCCAGCAAATATCGAATGGTGGAGTAACGGACCACCGGCAAATAAACCTCGTCGTAGTCGATTCTCGGTCGCTGAGAACATCCTTTTACCACCAACCGTGCCTTGTATCGCTCAATTGCTCCATCCGGTCCACGCTTCGTTTTAAACACCCACTTGTTGCGAATACACTTCCAATAGGCCTGTAAGTCAGCCAACGTCCACGTCGTCCAACTGTGGGGGAAATAACGGGGCCAGACAATGGACTAAAACATACAAAATCCAAATACTTGCCTGGGGTTTGGCGCTCCCGACCGCTGAGCCTTAACACACGCTGCTCATTACCAGCTGGTCTATCTTGTTGCGGTGGGAGCGTTGATGCAGACTCATCTCTCCAGTCGGCGTTGGACGGACCTTTCAACGAATCAGTATGCTCAATCTCAGAAATCGTACAAGCGTTAGACGGACCTTCCATCAGATCATCAGGCTCAGTCGGTCCTTCCGTATCTTGCTCCTCTGGGATAGTATTCTCGACGTTTGGTTGCTCCGGTACATCGAAAACTTCATCAATCTAGGTAACAATTTCCATGAACTCCACCGGTTTCTGCTTCTCGGTTGACATCACTGCTCGACCTTCGTTGATACATCATCGTTCTCTGAAAGATAAATCCGGTATCCTTTCGAATTCTCCGCGTACCCGAGAAAAATGGCTTCCACGGATTTTGAATCAAACTTCTTTCTCTTCGATTTCGGCACATGGACCATCGCCTTGGAACCGAATATCTTCAGATGGTTTAGATTCGGCTTCCTTCTGGACCACGCTTCTTCTGGTGTCATCATCTGCAGCGCTTGTGATGAACTTCTGTTGATCAAATACGCGGCGGTTGAGATTGCTTCCGCCCAGAACTTCTTCGACAGTCCCGCATCATTGACCATACTCCGCGCCTTCTCCACGAGCGTACGGCTCATGCGCTCAGCGATACCATTCTGCTCCGGGATATAGGGGCATGGGATGAACTAGAATGAAAAGAGTCTCGAGCATGCTTACCCTTTGCGCATGCCACGCAGTCCACTTTCAGGTCATTCTTCAAATCCATGCCATCAACCATCGCGACAAGTTTCCGCAAACTGCCTTGATTCAAATGCCCATGCCTCTTGTGCCAGATATTGGACTCAGTTATCAAGTAAGAGGATTCCGGTCTCTTCGTGTTCAGTCGGTATAAGCCTCCGGTCTCGTCACGAACCTCGCAAGTTTCAGCCGTGAAAATTTACACTCAGCCCTTTCTTACATATTCGACACACCGATAAAAGGTTGGTTGCCAAATCCGGAACTTGCAATACATCCTGAACTTCGATTGAACCTTCTTACAACTCCAGCTTCACCAGACCTTTCGATGTTGATTTCACGCTTTGGTTGTTTGCCGTTTCGATAGAGTGTACAAAAGTTTCCTGCTTCACAAAATTCTTCATCGTCCTCGTCATATGCGAAGTGGCTCCGGAATCAAAGTACCAGTCTTCTTCTTCTCCACGACCAACCGCCAGCGTAGCGCACAGAGCCTTCCCTCTTGACTTTGATGAACTTTGTTTCTGGGGACACTTGGCCGCGTAATGCCCAGGTTTGTTACAATTGAAGCACGTACCTTCCTTCTTATCTGCTCCACTCTTCCGACGCCGCGACTTCTGCTTCGAATAGAATGCTCCTTCGCCTGAACAGTCCAGCGGCCACTGTACATCTTGAAGTACCTTTGCCTTAACGAGATCCACCGTCAACTCGATTCCCGATGATTGCAAAGCCATGATCATTGGATTGTAGTATTTCGGCAGTACTTTTAGCAAGAGTGACGCCAACCATTGGTCGTTCACCTCGAATCCGATCTCGCTCAAATCATTCGTGATGGACACAAGCTCGTCAACGTAGTCCTCAACACAGCTACAATTTTCCAATTGCACTCCGGTCAGCTTGTCCAGCATACCGAATCTTCGGATCAGCCCGTTGTTTCCTCTCGACACTCAGGCAAATTGTAGCCAGCGCTCGATCACTCAGCTCCGGATCAGGTTCCTGTCCCTCCGCAGGTTTGACCGCTTTCCAGGTGCCTTCACAACAATTATAACCAGCACTCCATGGAATGATTCCAAAATCCCTAAAGTATTAAATAAATTTAGCAATTTTTTTAACCTCTAACTTTTTTCAGGTCGAAGTATTTGCGGAAGTTCTTCTGGTTTCATTTGAAAGCTTCTTTCAAGATTTTAGCCAACACACGGCATTCACCCCGACGACCAATTTGAAGTGAAAAATTGAAATTAACGAAGTTCAAAAGTTCCGTGCGAAGAGCATGAAAATCGGAAGTGGTTATCACAATAGCGGGGACCTGTTCCTTCTTGGCATTAAGCCGGGAAAGTTTAGTGTGATTTGGCCTGAATGATAGTTCATCATCATAATTGGTGAGCATATCAAATTGATTGCTCAAATGGTGATCGCAGTAGGCCGCGCATGAAAACTGACGTGTTTTTCTTTTGCTGCGTGTTGTTCGTCAGCGAATTAAACAATGTTTGCCTTTGATTTGTTAATTTGTGTTCTGACATTTAGTTTAAAGTGTTCATAAAGTGATATATCGTGTTTTGCCTGTGTTTGCCTTGAGTGACTCGTTTGACCTTGAATCTAACCTCCAAAATCTACGACGCAGCTTCAGTTCCATTGTTCGGTGTTGGTTTTCATTGCCTCCCGGGAGCCCGGTTCTCCGAATTTGGATGCCACACTTTCAGCGTGTAGTTCTATTGAAAGATTCGTCACCGTGGGCGAGTTTGAACCTAACACTGAACGGGTGGTAGCTGGAATAAGAGTAAAAAAATGTAGAAAATTTACAAGTAATATTGTTTAAATTTGTTGTACCTATAGGTAGCAAAAAGCAAATAAATCTGCACAGCAAGAGAACGCGATGCAGACTGAGGGGTTTTGGTTCTTTTCGAGAATTGACCACCTCCCCGGGGGTACTGGAACATTCTCGAAGGCACCAGAACATGCTCGGGAGGGACAATGGGACCATGGACTGTCAATAAGGCCTCCACCGACCATATTTTGTAAAACAAAGAAGTTCGATATGTAGCGCGACGGGTTTTGGAGCTTGCTGAGAATTATTCACTTCTCCGCGAGAACCGAAACATTTCCAGGGACATTGGAACATGCCCGAGCGGGCTAGTGTGATCGTGGACTGTCAAAAAGTCCATTACCGGCAAAGTTTTGAAAAACCATGAAGTTTGATATGTGTCGTGCGACCGAAACATGCCAGGGTGATTTTGAGCCATCATTATAGCAACCATTGGTCCAATTACATGATTTTAGTAAGAAAATATTATGTTCACCGTGTGTGTAATTACAAAACAGTTCAGCCGAATGCCGACCCAGAGTGACCCCACCAGAAACCTCAACTTTTATACTGAGCTGAACTGCCCATGAAAGCATTACAGTCCCATCTGGATTTTTATCAAATACAAGTTATCTATTAGAATCGATTGTATTTTACACTTTACTCTACTAGTCTCATATTTTTTTCAGAAAATATGGTGGAAAATACCAAAACTTAAATGTCTCATCCATTAGAGTATACAGAAAAATATATTTTCAACAGCGTTTTTCTCGGCTTGCTGTTTTTTTTTCCCAGATGGGACTGATATGCTTTTATGGGCAGTAAACCACTGTGCTTTCCATTGTTTACCGTGTTTGCTCGATAATTTTCAGTGAAAAATAGGCTACAATTTTTAGTAAAAGCCGTAACAAATTTATGTCGAAACCTACTTATCAACCGTCAACCGTCAACCACAACCATCGTATTTGTGCAAAGTACATACATACCCACAAGCGATTCAGCTGCAATGAAGTAGGAAAACAAGTTTTCCACCGAAGAAAACCAGACTTGTCAGCATGAAAAAAAAACGGAAAAATTTCTCACAGACACACTTGCCTTTGGAGCATTGTCGTGCCCCTGCATTGTGTGAAATAGGAGCGAACGACCAAAGTGCATCCGTGTGTCACCCAATCGGAGCAAATCGAGTCCCTCCGGTCGACGTTGACGACGACGACGACGACGACGTTCTCTCCGATTTCGCACTGGTTGCCTCTCTGTCCGAATGAAAATGCATACATTGGGGCTTTCGGGTGCCCCAATCGGGCGATTCATGGTTAGTCGAGTGAAAATCGTCGAGGTTACAAGATCACACAATTATTGGTCTCTCTCTCCCTCTGTCTGACTTGATCTGTCCGTCCCCTGTGCTGCATACTAACAACATCATAAATACAATCAGTCAGTCGAATATGCGTGCGTAGTACCTACCCGTTTCCGTACCACGCCGCTTCACTACTACTAAACATCCCACAGACAGACACGGTGGAGTTAGTGCTGATGTGTGTACTTCTGCGGATTGGTTTGGACCACCATCCTTCATTCGCCACCACCCCCCACACCCAACCCGAATGTTGAACATATTACATACTCATTCATCTCTCGAGCGAGCCCCATCAGCTCACCTTAGTATGTAGAGCACAGTGTGTGACTTGCAGCGCAGTGCTTGACGTTTAGTCGCCATCTTCGATTTTCTTTTGGTTGTTTTAAAGTGGCCAACTTTAATTTTCATTCTTTGGACCTAGGAAATCTGCCTGACTCGACGAGAAGTTTCTGTGGAACGAGCAATCGAGTGCATTCCACGGTTTGTACCGGTATGAAGAAGCAAACGATTGTGGTGGGTACCGTTGCTTGAGGCTCTTATTCAGCATTAAAGAGCTTGCCGAGCGCGGTTGGGAAAAGCACACGAAGCAGAAACCAGCTGCTGAAGCCCAGTTTTGCCCCTGCTTTGGGGTTTGCAAGGTGGTAGACGACCTGCTTGCGTGCGGTGGCGGCAAGTGGTTGGTGGGTGCTGCGGGCGGAATCGGAATCGGCGGAAGCCTCCTCAAAGAAGAGACTCTCGTCGTCGTCGTCGTCGTCGTCACTGTAGTTGTGGTTGTGAGTCGAGTGTGTAAATAAAGTTGAATCAAACGATAGCGAAGCGATACCGAGAACAAGCAGAGCGTGAGCGGAGCGAAGCGATCGTCGTGGGCCAGTGTGAGTTTGGAGCTCCGTGTTCTGCCGGAGAGGAGACGACGAAACCTGTGCACAGAGCCAACAAGAGGCGAAGGAAGCAGCAGAAGAAGCACGGTGAGTGAAAAATTAATGCTCGACGGAATGGTTGTTGTTGTTGTTGTTGTTGTTGTTGTTGTTGTTGTTGTTGTTGTTGTTATTATTGTTGTTGGAAAGATGCTGTTGAGTTTATCATGTTGCTGATGCCAATGACGGTGGCAATGCAAACAAGGGAGCATGCATTAAGTACGTCCCCCTTTTTTCCACGTTTTTCCTGTACCTAATGCATTGCTAGTCACTAATCTGTGAGCCCCCCTTAGAGCGTGACGTTCTTAATGGATGCTCCCCAAGAGGCATTGGATTTTCCTCTTATTTTTTGTATATTTACTGTAAAATGTACGTCAAGAAAAACGTGCTACCATCATACAAGAGGATCATTAATGACCGGTTTACACTACTGCTGGTGCATAATGCTGATTAACCATTATTGGTGTAAGTTTTAACCAGAAATGGATGCGCCAATGTTAATCAGTTGCGAAAAACTGTTTACATCATGCTGATAACCATTATTGTGAGCGACAGGCTCACCCGCCCATCTGTAAACCGAGCATAAGGAATTTGAATTTCAAATCAGCTGACGTCACGTGTCTATAAGATGTCTTTCTCCTCTCTCTCTCTCCTCCTTCTGAGCTGGTTGATCGGTTTGGTTGTCATCGGTTTCAAGGACAGGGCGCGTCATTCTTTACACCTACTAAGATGAGTCGGCGAGTCTTGTCTCAGGATTGATGTGGGTGTTGATGATTCTGTGGGAAATCGTTGATAATGTTGGTGGTGGGAGCGTTTATAACATAAAATAAGAAGTAATTTGTTGAGCGAAAGGGGAGCTTTGTGGATGACATGCTGAAATAATAGAGAATTTATGGAGACGCATGGTTGTAGTTGAATGAACATTTCTCTCATGATTGAAAAGAGAATGATATGTGACTCTGTGTCGATTGGTTACTAGGATAAATAGACATGTTATGAACTTACTAGTACACATTGGAAACCAGGCTTGGAAATGCTCATTACAGCTAAAATTCTACCTTCAGTTTCATGATTTCGGAAGGTAGCATTTTTATCTGTGATGAGAGTTTTCAGCCTGCTGACAACTAAAACAAGCCTGTAAAATTGTATTGTTTTCGACACGATTGAGACTGATGGGTGAAATAGTGATAATCAGCTAACATTGCACTCCGTTTTCAGTTAGGAATGACATGAGAACACAAGATATAAATATATTAGAGCTGGAATTAGGGCGTAACAGCTTTTGTAAACCATGACTTTTATCGATGATTTCTAGGAACTAAAGGCACGCTCACGCAGACCAACATAACCATCGGATAGGGAAAGTCTTTCCCTACTCGATGAGGAGATTAGTTTGCGTGGGCGAGCCTTTAGTTTCTAGAAATCATCGATTGAAGTCATTGTTTACAAAATCTGTTAGGCCCTAATTCCAGCTCTATCTAGATATAGTACAATACAACACAGATGTACAATTTAACGAACTATACACGGTCGTTTAGACCGACTCAAAATTAAGCAGAGTTGACTTAATTTCGGCAAAAGTGGATTTACTCAAAATTGAGTTAAAATTTTCCGGGGAAAAACCCTGGAAAACCAGAAAAAAAAACTTTCTGGACAAGTGGAAAATCCATGAAAATTTTACTCAGTCTAGGAGTATACTAATAGACCGAGTGAAACCTCTATCGATTTTCCTTATGTTCGAAAGGTTTTTCCTAGAGAATCCCGGAAAATTCAACTCACTATTGAGTAAATCCACTTTTGCCGAAATTCAGTGGACTGAATTTTGAATTGGTCTGAATGACCGTGTAGGCTGTCCCGGAAAGTAATAGCACAGTTTAATATTCAAATTAAAACATTTTCTTCTTAGGCCATTCGCAATACTGAGTTCAATTTTTTTTTTTCAAACTACTCGACAGTTCTAAAATTAGAAACTGTCACAAATGAAACTGCAACAAGATCACCGCATCGCACAGTTTTAAAAGGTGTTTGGTATTCATTCATACACATGTGTGCGTGTGCAAGTTTTGTTTGCTTCGGTGATTTTAGTGCGTACGGAGAAGGTGATTTTGATTCAAGAATGTTTCATGAAACAAGATGATTTCAATAACGTAATCTAGTGTCCAGGCATAGAAAATCATTTGCATTCATTTGCCTCTAACTTTTTTCATCAACAGCATTCCGGAAAATGATGTATAGAGCTTTTTTAGATTTTGTTATTAACTACAAGTTAAGCTCATAACTCAAATCTGTATCTCTTATGCATCACGAACTAGAGCCGGCAGAACTTGTTACTGTTTTTCAGTGAATGTAAAATACATTCACTGAAAAACAGTAGTGGATTCTGTTTGCTCTGGTTCGTCATGCATAAGAGATACGGATTTAAGTTGTTAACAAAAGTTGTAGCTAATAACAAAACCTACAAAAGTTCAACACATTATTTTGCGGAATTCTGTTCATGAAAAAAGTTAGGAGCAAATGAATGTAAATGAATGTACGAAATGAATGCAAATGATTTTCCATGCCTGCTAGTGTCAGGTAATGAGTTCGAACCACGAGCAATGGTCCCGGATGATTCTGCTGTCAAAACATGCAGGGTGGTCACTGAACGAGGATGTATTGGAACAAATATCCAGAGATGTGTTTGGAGACTTTTGAGCACCTGAAGGTCTTTGCAATAATTTCTGAGGCAGCTGATATCACGAGAGAATCTCTGAGAGACGTTATTTTAATTGTTGGACAGTTGAATATCTTCAGAATAAATCTTGATTATCTTGAAGTTATTGGAGACCTGAAGGGTTTGCAATAATTCCGGAGACATCTAAAGAATCGCTGATATTTGATGATCCTGAAGTATTGAGAAAATATCATGAGAAGTTTTTGAAAACCTATGAGCACTAGACTGATGAAAATTTTAAATTTTCGCTCCATAGTGTTCAAACGGTTCCAAATTGGACCCTGATTAGCCTCCTAAAGTTGGAACTCATTTAGTGAGAAACTGAATTGGCACAAACCATTTGAAGTTTATATGGAAATTACTATGGGAAAACAACTGTTTTGTTCACTAATATCTAAAAATATACCATATCACGATGCTTTAAGGGGGTAGTACACTTTGAACGTCCAAAAAGTAAGGCATTTTCGTTAATTTTTTTTAAAGCAATAAAACACTCAGGTAGGGCAAATATGTTATAATCCATTTATTAGTCATCCTTCGAACTACAATTTGTATTTTTTTTTTGAACTCGATTGGCGTCTCCCCGTGGCCGGTGCACCAGGTCGCGCGGGCGTCCTCGCACGGAAGTAGGAAAACGGCGTGGGAAAATACTCCTTTCCATGTGATCCTGGCACATAAATCGAACAAAAATCCTGATTAGTAATGTAATTTGGGTTAGAAATACGTATTCCGAGTTTTTTTTAAATTAATTTTTTCAAAAGTTGTGGCCTTAGGAAAAAGAAAGTCCATTTTTTCACCCTAAAAATGCTTACAAAATCGTGGATTAAAAATCCATTTTTGACAAAATCGAAAATGTGGATACGTATTCTAAGCAGAATTTAATTCTGAACAAGAAAACCTAGGCGATATCCAAATTTGATGATAACTGGTTAGAGTTATTTCCCACGCCAGTTTGAAAAACCCCGTTTCGAGATAAACGCGTTTAAAGATAAAAATTCTCTCTCAGCGCGCCGGTACATGTTTTAGGAAATCGCTTCGTAAAGCGGTAAGGAATATTCTGGCGGACTTGGAGTCTTTTCTAAATTAAAGTATACATCTCAAGGAACATTTTAAGCCAAAAAAAAATGCATTTTTTTTTTGTAAAATCAAAGTGTACTCCCCCCTTAAAAAATAATTACTATGCTCATAGGAAATTTTCTCAGCTACAACTTTATTCGATAAAATTTATGGAACAAATGTTATTAATGTTTCAAATCACTGATGTCTTATGACTATGCTCAATCAACTATTCAGTGTTTCTGGTGCGTATAATAGAACACAGAAATCATGGCAGGAATACCCTTCACCATCCCTTTCCAACGGGGGAGTTTGGTAAAGAGAGATGATCAAACCGATTTGTACCTTCCTAAAAAGTTGTCCTTGCTCGCTTTCTACTCTCTATATACAATTTTCACACTGCCGTACTCTAACGGAACTATCAACTCTATACTTTCATCTCCTTATCTATCGTATAAAAAATTACTACGGGGGGAAATCTCCATTGAAGTGATCATATTTCAAAGAAAGGGGAACCCTATTCATAAAATTCATTTCTCGGAGTCTTGATAGAAAATCTTCAAGTCTGCAATTTTAAAAATGCTCAAAATTTTTAAACTGTTTTTAAATCTCAGATCTTCAAAAATTCCAGTGTTCCAAGAATCCTAAAATGCTAAGAATTCTCAGGTATTTGATTTAGCAATGTTAAAAAGTTTAGCATTTAGAGTATTTCTGTTAATCATTCATCTTCGGGATATTCATAAAGTATATTTTTTTAATTCTTAAGCTATCCAAACGCGCAGAATCTTAATAAGATTTATTATGTTGGAACCCTTCACAGGATTTACTTAGGAAGAGCTTTGAGTGGGTTGGTTTATTTCCTTTAAATTCCGTTATAATTGCTTATCTTTTGACAGATACGCGTATTTCGTCTACTTGGCACTGATGAAGTCTGCAAGTAGTAGACGAAATACGCGGATATGTCAAAAGATGAGCTATTATAACGGAATTTAAAGGAAATAAACCAACACACTCAAAGCTATTCATAAAGGGATTCCGTTAAGAGGTTCGACCAATTTAAAGGATTTATTTAGGATTTATTTAAGAATTTCTTTAAAATCACTCTCGAATCCGACTCTCTATTGTAATACCCGCATAATTTTCTTGACAACACTCTAGAAATTCTCTGCAGAAAGCTCTTGAAACTCAGTCTGCAATTCACTTTGATTTCTAATAATTCTAACAGAACTAACTAGAAATTCTGCTCAGAATTCCTCCATATCTTCAATGGAATTATTCATTA